CCTACCCCCTAGACCCTAAACCCCCCCCCCCCCCCCCCTTAACCTTTGTCTAAGAGCCGAGGGGCGTTCGTTAAACCTCGGCTCGGTGTCGATGTGAGTCTCGGTGCGCAGGTTGTGGTGCCTGCCGCGCTGCGATTTAGGGTTTAGGGTTTAGGGTTTCCGGGTGCTAGGGTTTAGGGCTTAAGGGTTTAAGGGTTTAAGGGTTTGAGGGTTTGAGGGTTTAAGGGTTTAAGGGTTTAAGGGTTTCGGGTTGCCTGGGCCTTGTGAGGGCAAGGCTGCGATTGGGGGGCTTAGGAATCTTAGGGTCTTTGGGGTTTTTTGGGGGGCTGTTTGACGTTCGATTTTCGGGCTTATAAGTCTCCAAGAGCCCTAAGACCTTATGAACCCACCCACATATGTGCGGGGTTCCCTTATTGGGGTCCTTGTTTTAAGGGATCCTACTATTATTTTCGAAACCCCACCATAAATGACTCCTTCGGCATCCTCCGTGCCCCCAAAAACACGGCTGGGGCGACGCGTCCATGGCGAGATTGTAGAGCTGCTTCAGTGAGTCCATGGTGCGGAGCCTGGCTCATGGTTCATGAATAAGTAAAGGATATTTTGATTGATGCTTATTGCAAATATAAAGTACACCTATAGGCCCCCCCCCCCCCTGCTAGAGTAACTGTAGTTAAGGGAATCATAGCCTGAGTAGTAAGGCTTAGAACCCAAATAAGGGCTCTTACCCCGTTTTTAACTAGGGGCCCCTACATGCAGGGCAATCTTCATGGCCCTTATACGTTTTAGAGGTGAGGGTCATCAGGGTTGCGTACACACTTCGGGCGATGGGGCAAGAGGGTTTAGGGTCACGAGTCATAGGGGGGTAGGGTTTGCGGTTCGAGAATAACCCTAAACCCTAAACCCTAAGCCCTGCTTCATGTGGATGTACGTTTCGCTCAGGAGCGCCTCTTCGCTATTGGAGCCGCGCCAAGCAAACCTTGAAGGTGACAGTGACCAAGCGTCAGGGAAAAGCCCCTTCGACTCAGCGCCGAAAGGACGCTGGAAGGACGCTGGACAAGTACACTAGTCATCCTTCTACAGCTTGGCCGACTTCTGAAATCCGTTTTAACTTTTAAGATCATTATTGTCGTGTCTACAAAAACCCATTCTCAATCCGTATTGTAGTTTCTACAAAATCTTATTTAGGATCCTTTATTGTAGTTTCTACAAAAACCCAAAAAGGTTAAAAAGTCTTTAAGAGCCAGCCAGAAGACAGCCAAGACAGGGTGCGCTGCAGGTAACTGATACCTGAGCGGCACATCCAGAAAGCGTTTGCCTTGGAGCAAGCCGCTTGCAGTCGAAAACTCGGGTCCAAACTCACAGTAATGTATCCCGCTCACTTAAAGCGGCAGATTGGCATTCCGCGACATGGGCCCAGCCTGGCAGAGAAGCGGAAATCCGGCTGGGGGGGGCCTCTTGTGTTTGCCCGGGAGCCCCACATCCAAAAAGCAAGCTTCAACATCAACATCTATGTAAAAGAAGGCCCTGCCCCACCAGACCCTAAAAACTTAGACGGGCCATTAGACGGGGATGAACTGAACGTTAACCCTTAAATGGGGAAGGGTCATGTACCGTATACTAAGTTCCTTTGGTCCACTTACCAGGATGGGCTATTGGGCTATCTCATCCCCCTAAAGGGCCTTTTTGGGGGATTGGTATAATACCCCTAAACCCTAAACCCTAAACCCTAAACCCTAAACCCTAAACCCTAAACCCTCAAGGCCAGGATAAATAGAAATTGTAAGTGTTTCATTACGAGCAGCTCGTGTAATAATCCTTCATCCTTCACAGTGCCGAAAATTTTACCCAAAACCCAACTTTCAGGCCACAAACAAAAAACCTGAACAGCCCGAACCCCCCACAACCCTTCCAAACCCCAGCAGGCCCCCGCCCCCAGCCCGCACCCCCCAAGCCAAGCCAGCCCCAAGCAGAAGCCCCAAGCAGAAGCCCCCCCCAGCAGAAGCCCCCAGCAGAAGCCCCCAGCAGAGAAGCAGAGAAGCCCCCAGCAGAGAAGCCCCCAGCAGAGAAGCCCAGCAGAGAAGCCCCCAGCAGAGAAGCCCCCAGCAGAGAAGCCCCCAGCAGAGAAGCCCCCAGCAGAAGCCCCCAGCAGAAGCACCCAGCAGAAGCCGTCAGCAGAAGCCCCCAGCACAAGCCCCCAGCAGAAGCCCCCAGCAGAAGCCCCCAGCAGAAGCCCTCAGCAGAAGCCCCCACAGAAGCCTTGAGAAGCCTTCAGCAGAAGCCTGCAGCACAGCAGAAGCCCCCAGCAGAAGCCCCCAGCAGAAGCCCCCAACAGAAGCCAGCAGAAGCCCCCAGCAGAAGCCCGCAGCAGAAGCCCCCAGCAGAAGCCTGCAGCAGAAGCCCCCAACAGAAGCCCCCAGCAGAAGCTTCCAGCAGCCCCCAGAAGAAGCCCCCAGAAGAAGGTCCCAGAAGAAGTTTTCAGAAGAAGCCCCCAAAAGAAGCCCCCAGAAGAAGCCCCCCAAAGAAGCCCCCAGAAGAAGCCCCCAGAAGAAGCCCCCAGAAGAAGCCCCCAGAAGCAGTTCCCAGAAGAAGCCCCCAGAAGAAGCCCCCAGAAGCAGTCCCCAGAAGCAGCCCCCAGAAGCAGCCCCCAGAAGCAGCCCCCAGAAGCAGCCCCCAGAAGCAGGTCGCAGAAGCAGCCCCCAGAAGAAGCCGTCAGAAGAAGCCGCCACAAGAAGGTCCTAGAAAGAAGGCGCAAAGAAGCCCCCAGAAGAAGCCTCTAGAAGAAGCCGCCAGAAGCGGCCACCAGAAGCCGCCCCAAAACCAGCCCCCAGAAGCAGCCCCCAGAAGCAGCCCCCAAACAAGCCCCCCCCCAAGCCCCCCCCAAGCCCCCCCCCAAGCCCCCCCCAAGCCCCCCCAAGCCCCCCCCCCCCCCCAAGCCCCCCTTCAAGAGCCCCCCCGCAAGCCTTCCCCCAAAAGCCCCCCCAAGCCCCCCACCCCCCAAGCCCCCCCAAGCCCCCCCCAAGCCCCCCCAAGCCCCCCCAAGCAAGCCCCCAAAGCCCCCAAGCCCCAAGCCCCCAAGCCCCAATTTTGTTCAAAAGCAAAAGAAAAAACCGGTCAAAACCCCGTCAAAACTCGGTCAAAACCCCGTCAAAACCCCGGACTTTTGTTCAAAAGCAAAAGCAAAAAACCCGTCAAAACTCGGTCAAAACCCCGTCAAAACCCCGGACTTTTGTTCAAAAGCAAAAGAAAAAACCGGTCAAAACCCCGTCAAAACTCTGTCAAAACTCGGTCAAAACCCCGGACACAAACCCTATACAATTTCTATCTCACCAAGCCTGGAAAGCCATATACAATTCTACCCCATCTACCCAACCCCCCCAACCCCAAAACACCCGTCAGGGCCTGCAGTAGGGATCCCCCTTCCCCCCTCCCCCCTCCCGCCCCCCCGGCCCACCCCCTCCCCCCACCTCCCCCAAGCCTGGGAAGCCATCGCATTTTTGTTCAAAAGCAAAAGAAAAAACCGGTCAAAACCCGGTCAAAACCCCGTCAAAACCGGTCAAAACCCGGTCAAAACCCGGTCAAAACCGGTCAAAACTCGGTCAAAACCCCGGACACAAACCCTATACAATTTCTATAAACCCTAACCCTTTACAATAGCCCGTCCTGGTAAGGGTCCGGACTCAAGCCCTTGCGGATCACATGAACCCTAAAAATGGGGTCATATACCCTATGCTACTAATTCCTATTCGGGTGTACAATGACCCATAAGCCCCCTTTAAGGCTCCTATACTACTATCATTCCTACTATAGGCTATATATATATAAAGTGACCCATATGCCCCCTTTAAAGGTTCATTTGGTCCCCAAGGGCCCCGAGAGCGCGCCTCCCCTCACCAGTGACTCGCGGCCGCCTTGCAGAACTGCGCCGCCATGTTGTCGGCCCAGGTGCCCTTGCCGGCCTCATCGCTTCGCCAACCGAGATGGCCTTCAGGGTTTAGGGTTTAGGGCTAGGGTTTTGGGTTTGGGGTTTAGGGTTTAGGGTCTAGGGTCTAGGGTTTAGGGTTTAGCTAGGGTTTAGGGTTTTTTTAGCAAACTTGGTCCTCAAAGCCCTTAAACCCTAGACCCCTGAACCCTAAATGCCCGGTCTTCACAGGGCCTCCACGCCGGGTGGTGGCCGCGAAGACGCGAGGATTCCTCGGCGTTGGGGAGAGATGTGGCGGAAATCCGAACAAGTGGTGCCTACTGCTGCCAAAGCCAGACCCTTCTTGGACCGGAAGAGACCTTCACAATACATCCTGATCCCAAAGCCCTAAAGCCTAGTATGAACCCTATAACCCACCCCAAAACCCCAAAAGCCGTAATCAAAACAACCCTAAGCCCTGAACACTAAAAAATCCTAATGAAACCCCGATATTGTCCATCCTATGGGCCCATGAAAGGGAGCCAGGTTGTTTTTGGGTAGTTAAGAATAACCCTAAACCCTAAACCCTAAACCCTAAACTCCTAACCCTGAAAAATGCCCAACAGAACCCCCACCCCCCATGAAGCACCAAGGCTCTGTAGCTCCGTGAGGACCTGGGGTTCGAAGCGCACCCAGGGGTCGTCCTGAGCGTCCGCTTCAGCTAGGGTTTAGAGTTTAGGGTTTAGGGTTTAGGGTTTAGGGTTTGGGGTTTGGGGTTTGGGGTTTGGGGTTTGGGGTTTGGGGTTTGGGGTTTGGGGTTTGGGGTTTGGGGTTTGGGGTTTAGGGCTTAGGGTCCTATAGACCTCTAATCGCAATCCTTTATTTGATTTTTTGGGTGGGTTTGGAGGCGCGGGTTTCGGTTTGGGGTTACAGTAAGGGAAGTCGTGGGATTCGCAAAGCCCCTTCCGCCTCATGGACCAAATAAAGCCAAAAAGGGTCTATGGTTCATACTACCCTAAAAGCAGGAAACCCGAAACCCTAAACCCCAAACCCGAAACCCGAAACCCCAAACTGTTTCGCCGTCCTCCGTGTGCAAGATCAGCGTAGGCACAGCAATTTGGCTCAGGAATGGGTGGGGGCTGACGGCTTGGTAGTACTCGTCCACAACAGGGTAGCCGTGCAAAGGGCACACCACTGCTTGCTCCACCTGGGGTTTAGGGTTTAGGGTTTGGGTTTTGGGGTTTGGGGTTTGGGGTTTAGGGTTTAGGGTTGAGGACGCCGAATGAAACGACCCAAGCTTATCAAGATGGGCCAAAGGAACCTCCCCACTTGTCTCGCCAGCTCATATATGGGGGTTTCAAATAAGGGGGCTCCCATTTTGGGCTTCCTAAACCGTAACCACTAAACCACTAAACCCTAAACCCTAAACCCTCAAACCCTCAAACCCTCAAACCCTCAAACCCTCAAACCCTCAAACCCTAAAACCCTAAACCCTAAAACCCTCAAACCCTCAAACCCTAAAACCCTAAAACCCTAAAACCCTAAAACCCTAAAACCCTAAACCCTAAACCCTGAACTCTAAACCCTAAACTCAAACCCTTGTTGGGGAACACGAGGGGCCTCCTGCAGAGAGCCAGCTTTAGCCAGAGTCTCGGAGTCCAACCTATACTCCCCTTAGAACCTGAATAAAGATAGGAATTAGGGTTTAGGGTTTAGGGTTTAGGGTTTAGGGTTTACGGTTTAGGGTTTAGGGTTCAGGGTTTAGGGCTATAATAAACAAAAAGAAACAAAGAATTTTCCCAAGGGGATCTAGCAACAGCTCCAGGAACTTTGTTCCTTCCAGGGAGGCCTTGATATACTTCTTGCAGATCCTGGGGCTGTTTAGGGTTTAGGGTTTAGGGTTTAGGGTTGTAGGGTTTCTGGGCTGAGATGGAAAGCCTTGATATACTTCTTGCAGATCCTGGGCTGTTTAGGGCTTAGGGTTTCAGGGTTTCCAGGGTTTTGGGGTTTAGGGTTTCAGGGTTTGGGGTTTTAGGGCTTTAGGGTTTTAGGGTTTTAGGGTTTTGGGGTTTCAGAGTTTGAGAGTTTTAGGGTTTAGGTGCTGCGTAGTTTGTGGATGGAAGGCACGACCCGCAACAGCAAAAAGGGCGTACTGCCGCGTGGAGCCTGGCATCTGGGTAATCAGGTAGCTCAGCACTCTCTTTCCGGTGCCTTGGCTGATCCTCAAGGCAATGCCTTATGACTCCATGTGCCCAAGGCAAAACATAAAACGGATGCTGAACGTTGCTTTGGGGGGGGGGGGGGGGGTATGTAAGAGGAGCCAGAAACGCCGCAAACTCTGCAGCATAGCTCCTCAGCCTTGTGGACTTAAATGGGGGTCATATACCCGATACGACTAGAAACCCTATTCAGGTACATGAGAGCCCTAAGCCCTAAACCCCAAGCCCTAAGCCCTAAGCCCTAAGCCCTAAGCCCTAGATCCTAAACCCTAAACCCTAAACCCTAAACCCTAAACCCTAAATGTTGAAGCGTATTCCTCTTAAGCAGGCCCGTCAGGTAGTTTAAACTTTGTCATGTTGCTCATGCAGGCCCAAGCACAGTAGGGTCATGAGCATGTCTTTCAAGCATTTACAGCATTTAGCCTGTAGGTGCCGTAGCCTAAGTAGTTCAGACGTCACAGATCTTTTGGTCTTTCTTTCTGTTGTTTGCCGTGTGTAAAAGTGTCACTCCGCGTTTGTGTGAGCCATGTCAGCTGGGGATTTAGAAGCCAGGGAATTGATCACTCCACTGGGTTCTTTTGCTCAGCCTGCTGGTTCACACCAGCAGGTTATGAGCCCAACGCAGGGCTACGGCACCGTGATGCCGCAATCATCCCAACCTCCCGGGAGGGATGGTTTGCAAGAGCATATGCATTCCGCAACACCTGATGCACCCACCGCCGGCATTGAGGGTGGTTTGGGTTTTGTGGATATGGCTGCGGGAAGGGCGCGTGCTAGTCTAGACCCAGCAGAAGGCGTGCAGCATGCGTCGACCACCACTGAGGGTGGGATATTGCACGGTATGCCCCGAAGCATGCCACAAGCAGTGCAACCTCCGGACGGAAGTCCAGGACCAGAGGCCAACACCATCCTGCGTCAGGACACCTTGGGTGACGACCGTCAGGTTACAGACCAAGGTGGTGACAGGGGTTTGGGGGGCATAAGGTCAACTGGTGAGACCGCTGGAGTTGAGGGGTTCATGACCCCACGTTCACAGGGTTTGCCGGCTATCTCCGAAATGGTTGAAGGCATTCCTGGTGTTTTCATGTCTCGTGTTTCTGAGTTTTTCCGTGTGGCAAGGACTGAGGTGCAGGCCCAGTCACCACCACACCACACACGTGCAAGCCCTGGAGCAGTGTCTAGGGTGAGGGCTTTGGGAGATGGGAGTGTTGGGTCAAGTGCTTCGCCGCCGCAGCCGGACTCAATCGGCACACCCACCACTTTTGGCCCCGGGCCCGGGAGGGAATCCCCATTACTCAATGCCGAGTTGCTGCAACGCATGCAAGCGCTTGAGCAACGGGCCCCACTCCTTTACCCTAGATCTGCAGCCCCTGAACGCCCCTCAAGCCTTACCGAGTCGTCATCGCTCCCTCAAGAGGCAATTCAAGCAGAGGTTGCCAGGCAGCTTGCAGGTTTTGAGGCTAGAGCCCAGGCGCAGGAGGTGGAGAATCAGAGGTTGAGGCAGCTACTTGAGAGGAGTGAGCAGAGAGAGAGGTCCATGCGGGAAGTAGTGTCAATGCAAGCACAGACCCCAAGTGACCCACCTCTAGTCCCTACTGCCGCTTATGCGCATGTTGAGGCCCCTCTGCCAGCACCATCTCTTGCCCATCAGGTGCGATGCCACCTTGCAGGTGATGGACGCATTGAGGGCGCCTGCGTCTGCATCAGGGTTTTGGTCTAATTTGTGGTCGGGTTTGCAGGGTTCGCAAAGGTTGCCCAGCAATGCAACCCCACCCGGAAGGGCTGGGCATGTGCGTGAGCCCATGGCTCAATCTGCCCAGGTTGCACAGGTGCCAGGTACTGCCCAAGATGCACAGGTGCCAGGTACTCACAGGGCCTCTTCTGGCCCAGACCCCACTTTCCAGCCCGAAACCCCAGGTCTGGGGCAGATGAGGGCTGAAGGCGCCAATTCCGGCACAAGTCCACATTCTCGGCCCGAGAACCTGGGTTTGTGGCAGATTCCAGCAACTCCTCAGGTTTCAGGCGGTTTTGCCAGCACCGCAGGCCAAACGCCACCCGGGAGGGTCGGGCAGGTGCCCGACACTCAAGGTCCTCAGGTTTCAGCCGCCGCTGCAGCTCCACATGAGCAGCCCGCCACGCGTGAGGTGCCAAGTTCCGTAGTGGATGCACTGGTTTTAGGGGTGCAGCAGCTGCAAAGCTTGCAAGCTCATCAGCTCAAGGTCAAAGGTGACGATGCCCCTGAAGCAGTGAAACCAGGCATCACATCACTGCCCAAACTTGTTGCCCCCAACCCGTCAGGTGGGTCGTTGGAGTTTCAGGATTGGCTTGAGTTGGTTGGTGGATTGATGAGTGATGTGTCGGATTCATCGCAGCTTTGGTGGACAAGCGTGTTGCAGTTAGCGCGTGATGCCTTTGCCCGTTGGAGCGTTTCGTCCCCCGTGGAGCGGTTGAGAGTGGCCCCGGATGACAGGACGGAGATTGTTGAGGGCAAGTGGTCGCGTGTGAATGCCAGAGCATGTGCCATGTTGTTGGATTCGTTGGACGCGTCCGTGAAGGCCGACATTGTAGCACGCAGAGCCACGCAAAATGCAGCACACATCATGTTTCGCCTACATACGATTTACCAACCAGGTGGGACCAACGAGCGCGACCTGATACTCAGGAACCTGCATGATCCACCACCGTTTAAGGACGTGGTTGCTGGAGTGAGTTTGCTGAGGTCTTGGGGTCGTTGGCATCGCCGTTGTTTGGAATGTGGCATGGTTGCTCCTGATCCCTCCATCTTGGCCCGTGGGTTGACCACTGTGACGTCGCAGCACATTGCCAGGAATCCAGACGTGCAGTTTCGCACTCAGGTGGTACGCAGCGCACTGCACATTGACCTTCACCCGTCGGGAGATGAGGTTTTAGACTACCACAAGCATTTGTTGGCTGAGTTTGAAACTATGGCCGGTGGGGTAGACCCTAAGAAGGTAGATCCTAAGGTCCAGGCATTAAATGCCGCAGCCGAAGCATCAGGTGGTGGAAACCAACCTCTGGGGAAGGGTGCTGGAGGAGCCGGTGGTAAGCCGTGTAAGTTCTTTCTCTCGCCGAAGGGTTGCAGGAGTGGTCCCAAATGCAAGTTCCCCCACTCCATGACCGAGCTCTCGAAAGCTGAGCGTTTCAAGAAGTGCCTGGTGTGTGGTTCTGAGGAACACCGTGCGAAGGACTGCCCATTAGGTAAGGGTTCAAAGCCTGAGGCCAAAACGCATGAGCAGCCCACGATGCGCAAAACCACCCCCCAGGCATCGGGCCCAGGAGGAGTGGGAGGACAGGATGCATCGCCTCCAGCTTCAGCTTCATCACACGTGCCAGTGCAGGCCACGCCCATCACCATGAATGGTCAACCTGTTCCGCTAGAGTCCTTTATGCAAGAGGCAGTGAAGGCTTTGAGGCAGGTGGAGGTGAGCCCGGGTACGAGTGAAGCGCAACTGTCAAACAGTACGTCCCAAACCCAGCCGAATGCATCCCTCCAGCGCCTTGCAGTCCTTGGTTTGGGTGAAGAAAAGCCAGCTAGGAGCTCCCCCGAAACGTCCGTGCTGCACGTGCAATCTTTAGAGGTTGGGGATGGCGGGGAGTTGTTAGCCTTAGTGGACTCGGGTGCCACGCACGCCATGAGGGCAGCGTCATCCCAGGAGGAGTGGGAGCAGGCTACGCAAGTGGTGGTGAGTTTGGCGGGGGAGAACACCACGTCTATGAGACTCACTGCTAGTGGCACTCTGCTTTTGCCTCCCGGGAGGGATGGCTCCGCGCAAACCATTGTGCCCATGGGCGCAATTGTCGAGCAACTTGGTTACACCCTTATGTGGTCCGCCGGCAGCTGCAAACTCCTTCACCCTGACGGGCGGAAGTTGAAGCTTCGTGTCCGCAATGGTTGCCCGGAACTTGTGCAGTCCAAGGCGTTGGAGTTGATTTCGCGCTTAGAGGAGAGAAAGCTGGCGGAAATTGCGCAACTCAAGCGCCACACCGAGGAAGGCAGGGACAGGATTCGTCAGGCCAGGATTGCACTTGAGAAGAGCTGGTGGGAGCACTTGATGGACTACGCCCGTGATGGCGTTTCCTGCTCAGGTGACGCCGCTGTTGCAAATGCACCGTTCTTCACTGATGTTCCCCGTTGTGCGTTGCGAGGTTTGGTCCCTTCAGGTGATGCGGGCGACGAGTCATTGTGGGACATGTTGCGCAGTGCTTTGCCCAACCTCAACAGGAGGAGGAGGAAGGCGCTACAGCAGTCAAGGCATTGGATTGTCCACTTGTTTGCAGGCCCGCGCCCTCATAAGACCTTTGCACGGCTTGAGCGTGATGGCACAGTTCCTGGAAGACCATAAGTGACTTAAAAAGTCCAAAGCTTGATTTTTGACATTTTTTTAAGCGGCATTGGTGTTTATAAGCGGCATTGCACTTTTATGTCCAACTTTGAAGAGGCTGATGGACATGTTCTGCTAGCACTGGCCCAGAGACATCTGCAGGTCCAAGGGAATAGCATCATGAGAGCATCATGAGCTTGCACTGCAAAAAAACTTGAGCAAAAAGTATCGAAAATAAGGGCTCTGCATATACCCAACTGAATGAGCCGAGCCCTTAATTTCGATAATTGGTTCCAGTTGGCAGACATTTAAATAGATATATAGATGTATCTAAATACGTGTACTTTCGGCCTCACCCGGCCTCGCCCGGCCACACCCCGACTTCCCTGTAATGGTTGGGGGAAAGGGTCGTAGATGGAGTTGGTATGCTTTAAACCCCCACAACAGCAACCTTAACCTGGAACACCCTAGGAAGGTTTAATGGTCAGGTAGTTTTGACAGGGCTCTAGCTTTGTGCTCATCAGAAATATGGGTTGTAGAGCTATGTAGAACTACACGGGCTAATTTCGGTCTTCAAATAATTTCGGCCTTCGAGGATTAAGCTAGCTTCAGGACACCTGAAACAAGCCTCAACCAGCCCAACCTAAAACATATCAGCTCAAATTTAAACCCTAAATCCCTAAACCCTTGCCCCTCGTAACCACAAGCAGCAGCTCAACAGCTGCAGCTCTGCTTCGACACTCGGCTGCATTTCAACGCGTTGCTTTGTCCAGGGCTGTCTTGGTAACTACTGCAAAACGACGAAGAACGTTGAGGGAAGCAGTGCGGTGTGCCATCTTCTTCTTCATTTGCATCGCATGTTTGACCCAATCTTCGTCCACAAATGTGGCGTCGAAAAAAGGGTTCCTGTAGGTGACAGTCGTGGCCTCGGTCCCGTGCTCTTGGTGCAAGTCGTGCTCTCGCTGCAAGTCGTCTACGATATGTGTGAAGCAGTGTAGCTTCGGCCGCGTCTTGTAAAGCAGTTCACCAAACTCCAGGCTGCGGTTTGCTAATTGCAAGTACGACCGCAAAAAAAGCTGGCCTGTTTCGAAGGCTGTAGCACGCTCTTCCTCAGATAGAAAAATCGAAGCCTTCACCAAACACGATATGAAGCGCTCAGCCGCCCAGGTGCAAATAACCATGGAAGGGTACTGCAAGGGAGCTTGTGCTTGCAGCTTCCAGGATAGGAACCGAAGGCATGCTGCAGCATCAGCACCCTTGACCCTTAATTCAGGGCAAGCATCGGACTTCCAGTTCAAGGTCTTGCGGTTGATTTTTGTCAAGCTGAGCTGCACATTGTTCCCTTTAGCCCACATTTTCAACTCGGAAGTCAACTGGGCCAGCCTTTTTGTAATGTTCCGGCCAGAGAAGTATTCCCCCTTCTTTCTGGTCAGGAGTTTGAACCCTGACCCTACCAAGTCTCTGAGTATGCCAAGATGACAGACGTGCAGTAGGTCAAACGCAACCATTCGCAAAGAGAAGCCATGAAGACGAGCAGCTGCTGGCTCTGTACTCCAAACCAAATTCGGCGCAGCATCTGTTCGCCACAAAGCATCTGTAGCTATATTTGTATAGCAAGTCTCCAGGTTGTCGGTGCCTTTTGTCGCCGTGCAACGGAAACAGACCTGCAGGGCCCTTGAACAAAAAAAGATCATGTCCTTTAAAGCCCAAATTGAGCTCACTACCATGGTTTCAACATACTCACCTCTTCTTTCCCAGCATGCCGTACCAAGTTCAAGGATTGCACCAAATATTTCAGGTCGCCTTTGTACGACACACATTGAAAATATAGAGCCTGAGTTTCAAGGTCTGCATCTACAGACTGGGAAATTATGTAATGGCCCCTAAAAAAAAAGTACTAGCCAAAGTGCAAAAAATGTACTGGAATCGTTCCAAACCAAGTTGCTTTGCCATCGACTTCCAAGCCAGATGTAGCCAGGTCATTGAGGTCTTTCACAACTGCTTCCATCAACGATTGCAGTGAGAGGTTGACATGTTCTTCACCAAACCAGTACTGTTTGACAGGGAGGCTATAAAGCAGATAGCGGGAAGCTTTGCTGTTGGTGCGGAACGGCGATATGTCGAACATCCTGGACAAACCGGCCACAAACATACGTAGTCCCAACTTAACCCCAGAACCCTCTATTATACAGCTCACACCCCAAAGTCAGGCACCTAGCTAGCAGGCCCATTTCCCAAACCAATCGAAGCAAGACTCATGGTGCCAAACATCCAGGAGCCAGAGTTGTTGATCGTTCCCTCATCACCCCAAAGGCAGTATGGAACAGTGCACGCCCAGCGCTCGCGATCCGGGGGGTTGTCCAGTAGTGGACTCATCACTTCCCAATAAGATTCCAGCAGCTGGAAGTCACCCAGCGCATGGCCATAGCCAGCTGATAGCAGAGCTCTTGCCTTAGCTTCGCAAATATGCAACATACCACACCCTAGGGATTCCGTTAAAGAGACGTCCTACTCGAGGATCAGAAAAAGTGTTCTTGCTATAGCCTGGGAAGCAATGCTACTAGGCAGATGCAACGGCCAGCTTTCGATTTGCATTCGATCATCTTCTCCAGGGGTCTCCAGCAGGGTTGGTATATTGGTCCAGGACAGGGTAATTGGAAGCGCGCATCCCAGGGATTGAATGCGACCATGAAACTCCGATTCCCGAAGTGCTCGTGACGCATAGCCACCAACCACATTGCTCCCATAGATGTCGCCTAGCTAGGCACAGCTTCAGTTCTTCAAGAACACAATCAGTTACACATGCCTCGAAGAACGCAAAAGACAAAACCAAGTGTAAGTCGGGGATCCCAAATCACAGCCGGTAGTTATGTGCAGCTGGCCATTGCAAACAGCTTGCGCAATCCTTAGAAATCATGTAGGCACACCCCTCGGCTTTTGGGGTTTAGGGTTGAGGGTTTAATAAGAGGGTGTAGGGTTTAGGGTTTATCTTAGGGTCTAGGGTCTAGGGTTTAGGGTTTAGGGCTTTAGGGTTTAGGGTTAGGGTTTAGGGTTTAGGGTTTAGGGTTTAGGGTTTATAGGGTTTAGGGTTTAGGGTTTGGGGTTTGGGGTTTGGGGTTTGGGGTTTAGGGTTTAGGGTTTAGGGTTTAGGGTTTAGGGTTTAGGGTTACGGTTTAGGGTTTAGGGTTTAGGGTTTAGGGTTTAGGGTTTGGGGTTTAAGGCTTAGGGCTTATAGGGCTTAGAGGGCTTAGAGGGCTTAGAGGGCTTATAGGGCTTATAGGGCTTATAGGGCTTAGGGCCTAGGGTTTCGGGTTTCGGGTTTATAGTTTATCAGCCCAGGATCTGCTGATCCATCCTGCCACTGACTGCTGGCGACCATGATGAAGATGCAGGCTCGGCCCCTGCACCAAAAACACTTTTTGGTTTAGGGTTTTAGGGTTTAGGGTCCAGCACATCTGAAAGCTTTCCTGCGTACATGAGAAGAGTTCAGCCTCACTTGCTGCTGCGTACTTTTTCACTCCATGCGCATCGACCCCATAGTAGCTGCACATATAGCAGGTTGTCCCGCTAGACACGATAGTTGCAGAGCTTCAAGCACAGGGCAAGCCACACATTGAAGCTAGATCTTGCAGCGTTGCAAGAAACCACACTGGCCTGATGCAATGCGAACGCGCAAAGAAGTAGATATAACCTGGAAAACTCACTGCCTTCAAATGGCCCCAAACATCAAAAGGTAAAGGTTCGATTTGCAACAGACACACAGGACCCGGCATGGATCGAGCTTTTGCGATCATGCTTTCTTTTTTAACTCGGTAATCAAGCCCTTGGCCTTCCCCTTGGTCACTTTCAGGCTCGAGATCTTGGTTGCACACATATACGGCCATCAATTTCAGTTTGCACAGGCCCAAAAAACAGCTTTCTTCCCAGCTGAAGCCAAGTAGCCACACTGAAAATCTTGGGGCAGATGATGTCCATTTGAGCTGCAGAGGTGCTTTCTTTGAGCCTTATAAGCAAGCAAAGCCTCCCCCCCCCCCCCCCCCCCAATTAAGCAGGCTATGAAAATATATAAATGGCCAAGTAACTCCTTGGCCAATCGCTGCAATTTCTTGAGGGCTTTGTCCAACTCCGAGCGGATGTCATCATCCTCAGGGACGTCCACCATGAGGGTGGAAATGTTGCCGATTTCCTTCTTCACTTCCGAACCTTAAGTGAAAGATCAGCCCAAAACAAGCCAAGCTAAAGTTCTTCTGGGTACTCTTGATTTGCAAACTCTGCAATTAAGAGCTAAACTCCATTTGTCATGGCGTTCCCCATCACTGTGAAACACCTCCTCATTCAGAGGCTTCTTGGCATTTGCAGCCTTTGACCCCTTGGCACAGGAGCCCTTCGATCTCTTCGAGACCACCGACCTCGCACCTTTGGCTCCAGCACCTGCGTCAAGCATTGGTCATGAGTTGCAGCTCTGGGTCCAGGGTAGGTTTATGTAATGATATCGTCCGACCTCAACAAACACTAGCTTTTGCCAAGTCGCTCAGATCCAGGCCCGCGGCTTCTGCAACACTTTGCTGGTAGCTGTCATAGGCTCGAAGGACATCTCCACTAAGCGGGGTTGGATCGGACTTTCTGGGTCGTTCAAGCATGGAGGGCTCCAAGGACCCCGAGAGAAGGGCAGCAGCATTGGCAGCCGAGGGTGCTGCGTGCATGTTCATCTCCTCTTCGTGCCTTAAGTGCACAAAACCCTTAATAGGCTCACGCAGACAGTGGCTTCAAACAGGGCATCCTATTTTTGGTAAGCAAAAGACTCAATGGATACCGAATCCGTTTTGCTTTCCTCCACCGTCACCCAATACTTCGTCTCCTCCGCCACATGCGGAGCATCGCGATCCTAAGCTGGGCAGGTATGTAGCAAACAAACAAATTTTTCGTAAGTGCAGCAATGCATGCATTATTCCTGAGCCAAGGCACTGGCACTCCTTGGCGGGTGCTAATGATATATTCTATTTTGCGCCTTGGCTGGAAAGGCCGGAAGGTTTGTATATGGGCTCATAAATGGAATCGGACAGCCCTCAATTCTCAAATTGTGCCCCAGAAACGCCGAAAACGAATGCGGGGGTTTCGACATATCTTTAACCGCCACCAATTTCATCTGCCTCTGGCCCTGGAGCTTGTTGCGCTTGGAGATCTTGATAAGATGCTCGCACTGTTGGAGGTTCTCTCCAGAAGAAATCCATCGCTTCAAGAGCTCCCCGCGCTCCTTAGTAGCAACCAAATAGAATAACCCTAAAGCCTAAACCCTGTAGCCCCAAACCCCTAAACACTAAAACCCAAATCCTTTAACCCTTAATTAACCCCTGAACCCTGAACCCTCAACCCTAAACCCTGAGGGTTAATTAAGGGTTAAAGGTTTAGGGAATAGGGTACAGGGTTCAGGGTTGAGGGTTTCACCCTTAACCCTTGACCCTTAACCCTTAACCCTTAAACCCTAAACCTGACACCCTAAACCCTACACCCTAAACCCTAAACTCCAAACCCTAAACCCTTAACCCTAAACGTAAGCCAGGGTTCTTTGGTGGTGCCATTCGCCAGGGCATTCATGGAGGGGAATTTCGACAATGTCCCGTTTTCGGTAAGACGCTTCTGAGAGGAGAGGCACTTTCAAGAAACATGACAACACTTATAGACATGAACTTCCATGATGTGTGTTAACACTGATCGAGACACCAAGCGCATGTACTCCTTCTTGTGGGTGGTGGAATTGATCACGGTTTCCGGGCCCTCATCGGTAGCAGCCGAGCTCGAGTGAGCCGCAGCTGAGGATACTGTAGAAATACCCTCAATCTTCTTGGCCTCTTTCAAAGCCTGAATTTTCCCAGCCACCTCATTCACACACAGCTTGGGGCTTGCTCGCACTGGGGTTGCAATGGGTCTCTCCACAGCATCCTTCCCTAGGGCTGCAGGGGTTTCAGCAGCATCCTTCAGCTTCTCAACCTCGGCTTGCCTCTCATTCTCAACATGCGTGCTCAGGCTTTCGACCTCCTCTGCCTCTGCCTCCTCTTCTTGAGCAAGGTCGGCGGCAAGCTCGTCACTTAACTGATCTGGCTCCTTGTCTGCCAGTGCTGGGAGGGCCTCGAGGCCTTTGGCCTCCTTTTGGAGTTGCTGCTGTAGCTTAGCCGCAAGGCTCAGTAGCCGGGAATAGCCCTGATCCATTCCCACTTGGGACACAGAAGCTCCCAACCTCAAATCCAGGCAGGCATGATCTAGAGTGTCAGAACAAAATGCAACAATCGAGCCCTTTCGTGAAAATGATTTTCAGCTTTAGTAACGAATCGATGATTTCGGACACCGTCTGGCTTCCACAAAGGTCCTCGTCATCATCCTGCTCCTCTGCATTCTGCATATCAAGCTGCTCCTCTCCCATCGCCAAGGAGGCACACGACCTGGGATGAGAGAAGTGTGGACAAGGGTTGCAAGAATTATGGTTCTACAGGTGTTGTTTCTGGGAGGGCTTGCATTTTGCAAAACACCCTACACAAAGAAAGGATTCCTTAATTCTTGAGCCTGAACACCAACCCCGGGCAAGGTGATAACTCCCAGGGCTGTCCTCATTCTCAAGACCACCCTCAAGACCGGAAGCGGGACAGTCCTCACAATGCTGCTTGGATCGCAGCCTGTGTTTGGGGGCCTGGACTTGCTCATCAATTTCATCAATCATGTCCTGAATCTCCTGGTCATTCAACCTGCCATGGCGGCATCTTCTTCCAGATCAGCTGTTGCACCGGACCTACGGAGTGAACCTGGCTTGCTGGCACCAGCGCTGGTTGGCTCACCATCATCATCCTTCTGCTGCGTTGCCTTCTTGCTCTTCTTCCCTTTCTTGCCCTTCTTCCCTTTCTTGCCCTTCTTCCCGTTCTTGCCTTTCTTCTTCTCAGGCATGGTCTCGGCTGGCAGGTCTTGGGCGGTCTCCTCATCTTCTTGCTCCTCTTCATGATCCTCTTGCTGCTCCTCTTGCGGCTCCTCTTGCGGCTTCTCTCCCAGGTTCACACGGAAATCCTCTTCCAGCTCCTCATCCTCCGCTCCAGGGGCTTCCTTGGGTTCCTCCTCCTTGGCTCTTTGCTTTGCGAAGCCTGGGCCTTTTCAGGAAGCTGCTCCTTGGCTTTGCGCTTGTTCTTCGTGCTCGGGGGGGAAGCAGACGAGCTCGACACAGCACTTTTCCTGCGGGAAGGGGTTGGCTCCTCAACTTGCGTGTCCTGATTCGCAGGGTCTTGCTTGGAGGGCTCTGTTGGTGTTTCTGCTTTGCGCTTGGCCGATTTCTTCTTGGGCTCTGGGCATGCCTCAGCCTTCGCAGTCTTGGGTTCTGGGGTTTCCTCAGCCTTGCCTTTCTTGGACTTGGGGCCTTCTTCAGACTTCCCGTTCTTGGGCTCTGGGGCTTCCTCAGCCTTCCCTTTCTTGGGCTCTGGGGTTTCCTCAGCCTTCCCCTTCTTGGGCTTGCGTGTTTCCTCAGCCTTCCCCTTCTTGGGTTTTGGGGTTTCCTCAGCCTTTGCTTTCTCGGGTTTTGGGGTTTCCTCGGCCTTCCCACTCTTGGGCTCCGGGGCTTTCTTTGGTTCCTTCACCTCATCATCAGGGCCGGTTGTGCTCGAGGTTGTCTTCGGGGTTGGCCTGGGTCCAAGCGAGAGAGCCTTGGCCTTTGCAGGTGGACCTGGCACCTTGGCTTCGACTGGCAGCGGCTGTGAACCTGGCACTTCCGGCTGCTTGGGCATTTTTTGGCCCAACTCTCTCCTGAAGCGTATCATGACATCGACAGCTTCAGCATAATCTAAGTTCTCAGCTTCCATCATCTCACCTAGGGTGAAGTGGCAACCCGGAATAACATCCTCGGACAGATCAAACTGCGCTCGTTCAGCTTGCTTCTCCTTTCTCGCAACATTCCCTTTAGCTAGCACAGCATTGATCTTCGCATTCCTTGCTCGAGATGAGTCAGAAGATCCAGACTGAGGCTTGCTGAGGCCAGGCGCCATGTTACTGGCAGGCAAACCCTCCAACCCAGCATAAAATCTCGATCCGATACCCTTCCTGTAAATGCATGCACAGCCAAACCACAACTGAGCACAAGTTGCATTGTGCAAAGGGAGAAAGAACAAAGAAATAAACAACAAAGGCTGAGGAAACACGCAAGCCCAAGAAAGGGAAGGATATGAGGAAGCCCCAGAGCCCAAGAAAGGGAAGGCTGAGGAAGCCCCAGAGGAGGAAGCCCCCAAGTCCAAGAAAGGGAAGGATGAGGAAGCCCCGAGAGAAAGAGAGAAAGAGAAAGAGAGAGAGAGAGAGAGAGAGAGAGAGAGAGAGAGAGAGAGAGAGAGAGAGAGAGAGAGATACCCGGAGAGAGAGAGAGAGAGAAGCCAGCGAGAAAGCAAGATCAAGAGACATAGCAAGAAACAGGAAGAGAAAGGATACACACATATATATATATATAGAGAGAGAGAGGTAAAAAAAGAGAGGAAGCAAAACAAGCACAGGCTTCACCAATACATGGACACAAGTGTCTTTGTTCAGACTGAAGTGCCGGGTCCAGGTTCCAGGTCCCAATTGGTGCTAGCGAATTGAAAAGGCTCCCTAGAAGCCTTTGCAGCCCTCACAGTGCCTGAAATCCCGAAAAAAACGGGTTTCACGGGGATCACGTTTTTTACCCCTCAAAGAACGCCAGATAACTAGCAAAGAACGCTAAATCACGCTGAAAAGGCCTTGTCAACAAGACCAAAATCACAACCTGTGTGCGTCAAAAAAGACCAGCATTAAGTTATTCGAGGCATATTTCAGGAAACAGGCCTGACCAAGGGCATGGCTACGTGAAAACACTCAAAGGTGTTCTGTGCAACTGGAAGCCTTTGAAACACCAGAATTAGAACTCTGCAAGGCTTCCCGTCCAAATGGGGCCAGTTCCTTAAGCCTCTCACCAAGGAAGCTCGGACCACCATGATCCTTGACCATGTGCCTGGGATCGACAAAGGAGGAGGGTTAGGGGTTTTGGGTTTGGGGCTCGTTAGGGTTTATGGTTTAGGGTTTAGGGTTTGGGGTTGAGGGTTTATTTAGGGTTTGGGTGTATGGTTTAGGGTTTGGGATTTAGGGTTTAGGGGTTAAGGTATAGGGTTAGCGTTTAGGGTTTAAGTTTAAGAGTTTACAGTTTAGTGTTTAGGGTTGTTTCAGCTTTAGGGTTTATAAGGTTTAGGGTATAGGGTTTGTCATTGTGTTTGGGATTTAGGGTTCCTATACAAAAAGGGTACCTTGTTATGTAAAATATGTAGATATAGGTACATTATTGTGCAAAATATGTAAATATCATATGTATGTACAAAACAAAGAAAATGTTAACTCCATATTTCCCCGGTGAAATTCAAACACCGAATATTGCAGATAGCAGGCTCACCAATCCTCAGCATCAAATCGGCCTTAGTTGCCATAAGCATGCTGGAGAACCAGCTGAGGAGACACTCCTGGACATTGCTGCAGTATCTACAACAACTCGATTTTCCTGCTTCCGCTTCTGGTCAGCATCAGTCCATGTCGGGAGGTTCGGGCACATCTTCTGGGCCCAAAAAAAAGTTCTCACAGTGCTCACAAGGCATGTGCTTCGTTGTTGGCCTGGGTCTCTTCTTTGTGGGCCGTGCTTTCAATCGCATTGCCTGTTCCTTCTCCTCGTCAGAGTCAAGAACGAGGACAATATTCTCCATTTGCTTCTCTTTCTCTAGTGGCGCTGCATAGATGTTGGCAGTTGCCGTAGCTGTGCCATTGCCCTCATTCAACAGGGAGATCTGTGCAGCAAGTTCAGCTGCATTCTGGGATATGGATAGAGCCATGCTCTTGAAAATGGCCAAAGTGTATGGAACCTACTTCTGGGCCACAAGGGCAGCGTATGTTCACAATTCAATTTCAGGGTTTAGGGTTTGGGGAAGCCAAGGTATGCCAACATATTGCTGGATCGATCGATGGGCTGGACTTGCACATGCTTTTGGAGGAGGATATCTATAGGACTGCGGAAATCACCAACGAGATTTGCCCAGGATATTCGGGATTTAACAGGTGAACAGGAGTGATTTTCGAGATTTGGGGGGGGTGGGGGGGGGGGGGCCGGCAGGGGGGGGGGGGGGGGGGGGGAGGGAGGGGTCAGAGAGCATGAAAGCCGGGATTCCGAGAAAGACCCAAAGCTAGGCTTGAGGTTTGGGGGCAAAGCACAAAAATGGTATAGTAGTGTGGGGGGGGGGGGGGGGGGGAGGTTTTAAGAGGGGTAAAGGAGAGCAGGGGACAGTTCTGATTCTGGTGCGCAAGGGGTTTGAATTCGAAGTATGAGGGCATACGCATGCGTGCCAATGCAATGTATTTGTGGTGTGCAAACTTCTGTGTCCCTGTAAGTGTCCCTGCCAGAGTGTGTGTGTGTGTGTGTGTGTGTGTCTGTGTGTGTGTGCTTAACTTGTGTGTGTGTGTGCACACTTAATTCTTGTGTGTGTGTGTGTGTGTGCGTCTGTGTGCAAGCACAGGTGTGTGTGTGTGTGTGTGGCTGCATGTGTGTGTGTGCGCGCGTGTGCATGTGCGTGTGCGTGTGCGTGTGCGTGTGCGTGTGCGTGTGCGTGTGCGTGTGCGTGTGCGTGTCTGTGTGTGTGTGTGTGTACGTGTGTGTGTGTGTGTGTGGGTGTGTGTGTGTGTGTGTGTGTCGGTGCACGCATGCACGTGCTTGAGTGGTTTAGGCTTGAGGGTTTGGGGTTTCAAGGCTTTAGGGTTTAGGGGTTAGGTTAGGGGTTAAGGTTTAGGGTTTGGGTTTAGGGTTTAGGGGTTAGGTTGGGGGTTAAGGTTTAGGGTTTGGGTTTAGGGTCTAGCGTTTCAGCTTTAGGGTTTATAATGTCTGTGTGTTGCACACATTCACAACCGCATGAGCCTCTGTGTTTTGAATGGAACCCCGGACAGCTTAAAAAAGAAAGAAGAACTGAATTCTTGCAGGCTGGGCACCCAGTGTCCAGTGCAGCGCATGTCTCTGCAGCCAGATAAATATCGAATCGCTGACCCTATGTTGGCCTCAGCTCAGTGCAAACAAAGACCTGAATGTTTTCATGCTGCACAGACTGCTTGCAGAAGCTTCAAACAAGCAGCATCAACACAAAGGTCATCCTGAATGGCCGGCAGGCTGTCGCAGAACAGCTCAAAGTCAGATCTGCCCATATTAACATCACATGGTGCTTTTGGACCCGGAAGCTCGACCTAGGATGTTGCAAAACAAGACATAACGGACAGTGCTTCCTAGCTAGTATACTCGAATCACGTTCTGTCGAGCGACATCCTGGCGTGCGCGAAAAACATCCACGATGCAGTGTCCAAACTGGGCTGTATACTTCCTGAGGATGTTTCACCGAAAACCAAACAGGTGCAACAGTGACACAAATCAATCTCAGCTCAGAAGTTGCTGCAGCAAAGGCACTGGCTGTTCTTGAGCAACTGGCTGCATCCCGTGAAGGTGTCCTTCCCGTTCTTGGTCTTGCGCTTCACAAGTCTGGTGCCCAACTTGGCCGCATCCACAGACGACAAGTAACCACCACGGGCCATGATCATCTTCATGAAGCCCTCGTCGTTGCTCCATCCCATGTGCCGTTTAGGGCTCGGAGCACCAAAGCAGCCCATGTACCAGCTACCTCGCCAAACCTCAGTTGTTTGGTTTGTCTGTCATGTTATAAGGGGTGGGCCTGCCTAGCTGCCTAGCTGGAACCTGAGCATTGCTGACAAGGAGCCTGGACACGATCCACAAACCACTTCCATCGAGGGTGGAGTGGCATACATGAAGAGCCAGGTTGTTCAAGCAAAAACCGAACGCCCCGCTGAGCAGCCAAGAGCAGGAGCATCATTGCTCTTGACATTAACATGTTTCCGTCTGCAACAAAAGGGTACCCTTTGTTGCCTAGTGGGTGGCTGACGGATCGGCCCGAGACGGAGCGACTCCTGCAGCACTGCAGCACCACCATTACGAGTATTGTTTAAGGCCATGTAAACCTCAAACCGTACAGGAAGAATAGATCCACAACAAGTGGCACAATGGAGAAGCTGTCGCAAGAAAGTGCCACTATCAGCACACTGGATGGCCGCAAGCGAAGAATCGCATTGACTGCCAAGATGAAGCCAACATCTTGGGTGAGGTCCATGACCATCGGGTTGTCGAGCATATCGATGGATGATCCACGTAGGCCATCCTGGTCGAAACCATGCAATGCACAGCAATAGTCGAGCATGCTTATAAGTAACACTGATAATGTCTAACCTGTGCAAAGGCAAGACTGTCCTGCCGCAATTTGGCACTGACCTCAGCAGACCCTGCAAATATTTCAGCAAAATCCAGGTCCTGCGCCAGCAGGCCAAAGTGTGGTTGCTACAAGAAGTCTAGGTCAACATGGGAATTGTAGCAATGATGTGACACATCGGTCCTGGCCATGATTCAACCGCGGGTTGAATAGCACCAGGACGCATAAGAGGATCAAGGGCACAGGGGCCCTCCATTGCAGAAGCTCCGCCACAACCATGACTTTAAGTCTGTTGCCAGAGGGCGTGCTCAGAAAAAAAGACTGTTGACAAGTTCAGCCCAAAATGAGGACAGAGCCATGCCTGCACACACACACACACACAACACACACACACACAGAGCCACACGCACACACACACACACACACTCACACACACACACACACACACACCTGTGCTTGCACACAGACGCACACACACACACACACACACACACACACACACACCACACACACACACACACACACACACACACACACCACACACACACACACACACACACACACACACACACACACACACACACACACACACCCACACACCACACACACACACACACACACACACACACACACACACACACACACACACACACACACACACACACACACACACACACACACACACACACACACACACACACACACACACACACACGCACACTCTCACACTGCATGCAGAGTCAAACACAGGGTGGTACTCACACGGCTGCCAAGAGCAGTCCACACCTTTGCCATGAGACCGCAGAGCCAAGGCACATATGTTCCGTCTTGCAGGAAAATATTCGATGCACTTGCAAGTATTTCAAAGAGGCATCCAAAGACACCATGCTATCAGGGGCCAAGCTGCAATTGATCAGCTTTGCCGACAAACCGTCACATTAAAGAACTACGTGTTGCAGATATCGAGAGCAGCCCATGAGCCTAGCCTGCCCTGGGTAATTGAAAGGTCACAGGCTCTAAAGATGTAAGATAGTTGCGGAAACCATTAATTTAAAACAGCACGACTTGGCCTAGGGCGTGTCCCAATACCATCACAAATTGAAGCGCCTTTTGCTTAGCTCAGCCTTGGACATACCCTGAAGGAGCTCTGCTTTCCTGGTGCTGGTGTGCCAGAGCTGGCACGCTTCACGCCAATTCACACCCTGCTCCTTGACAGCCTCTCGGATCCACTCCAGGCGAGCCGCCCTAAACTTGCCCGGAACATACTTCGGGGGCTCATCGACCAGGGCTTCGGCAGGGTTCTCCTGGTTCCCTGGGTCGGGTTTTGGGGCTTGGGCTTTCTTGCAAACCTTCGCTTTCTTGGCCTTCCTCTTCTTCATTTGTGCGCAAGCTTTTTTCTTACTCTTCATATCCTTCGGGTCCCCTTCCTCGTCACTTTCGTGCTCGTTGTTCTTCCACCTGACAACAGGTCCCCAATCCCACCCTTGTAGGGCAGCAAGTGGCAAAGTAAAAAATCCCAGAAGGGTTTAGGGCTCAGGGTTTAGGGTTTAGGCTTTAGGCTTTCGGGTTTAGGGTTGAGGGTTTAGGGTTACTGTTGTAGCGCCCAGGCACTGCAAAGATGGTTTGAAGGGCTTCGGGGTCTCAGCTGCCATGCTACGCAGGCTCTCCAAAACCTGAATGAGAGGCAACAGCATGTTGCATGCTATCTGTGCCAACTTCAAACAAAACATCGGACAGGTAGCAGAAGCAGGGAGCACAAACTCATTTCGAGGTTCCTCTTGCTGCTTGGCCTGCTTGACTTCGGCCACAATGCTCCTGGGCAGGAACAGAATATGAAAGAGCAGGGAAGCCCAATCCTACATGAAGTCTGAACAAATTGTGCAAGCCACGGGTCTTGAGTCGACACATGATATCCTTGGGCGGGGTGTCGCACACCTTGGCAACCTTCCGGGCCTGAGTGTTCCACACAGGACTAGCCATGACAGGAAGAAACATTTTGAAGCAAGTGCTCAGGCATTAACATAACTGCAGCCCCTACGCTGGAGTGACCACCTGCTCATGGTAGCTGAGAGTGCTCAAGCTTGACACCTCTGAGGCTGCAGATGGTGCCACAGAGCTTGCCGCATCACCACTGGAGGCTTCCACAGTGTCTGAAGTAGTGTCCTGGGCATGCAAGGTTGAGGCTATCACGTTGCGGGTGCTTGTATGTCCAGGCTCTAAATGCATTGTAGCTAGGCAAGTGTAAGCGCTGCAAAAGTTCATCGTTGGACTGGCTTGTCTTCGTCTTGGCCTTCTTCTTGGGGGGAAAGAAAGGCATGAGCTCTTCCTTCAGTTCCTGCAGTGCCTTTTCATGTGATTTGAAGGTCCTGCGGCATAGAGCTTTGAACTTTGTAGCCTCGGAACTGCTTGCTAGGTAAGTCGACTTCTAAGTGCTACACTGGAAGAAAAATCCCCTGTAGCCAAGAAACCAACTTCCTCAGCGCTGTAGCTGTACGTAACGACCAGTCCCGAACAGCTGCTGAGTTCACAGAAATACCACGGGGCATCTGCTTTGTGTTTTTGTACCAATGCAATATCCCATGCGAAATGACATGGGCGCCATACCGTTTCTTGCGTGGGCAGGCCTTGATGACTGCAGCAACGGCCTGGGATCGTGCTCTGCAGCAGCAGAAGCCAAAGCAGCAGCAGCAGCAGCAGCAGCAGCAGCAGCAGCAGCAAGAATACTAGCAGCACATAGGCAGCCCCACCCCAATCAACAGCATAGGCTACAAGCAGAAGTTCCCTTGAAGGCCGAAATTTGAAATTTCTAAGCCAGGGTGCTCGAGGGTTGACCGTGATGTCCTTGCGGTGCACGGCCGATTTCTTGAAGAGAAGCTTCCCACTTCGATCCAGCAGCAGATTGAAGCCAAGCTTAGTTGCAACATGTATACATGTACTGCGAAAATTTAGGGTTTAGGGTTTGAAATTTAAGGTTTAGGGTTTAGGGTTTAGGGTTTCCATTGAAGCCAGGGACCTGCTGCAGGCTCGGCTCTTCCTGAAATTTCGCCGAAATCTCTTTTGCCTCCTCACTGAACTCGATGGGGCTCTCTTCAAAATCGGACGGAAGGGAAGTCATGGCAGCGGCTACTTTCGTTTTAACCAAATATGGAGGGTCAGTTGAACTACAAAGTCACGACTTGAAAGGCTAGTTCAAGCATAGCTGAATATCATTTGTCTATTCCCAAGAACCCACCCAATCGACATTCACCAAAATCTGCACACGATCAGGCGCTCAGATCAAGCAAATGCTTTGGGCCAAGCAATCAGCAAGCAAGTGGAATTTCAAAGCAAGCAATGCCACCACAAGGCTTCACATTTAGAGAGAATGCACAAAGCTAGGAGGCGGCACCTTCTAATTGGAAGAGCTCCCGGATGGTGCGCTTCTTGCGAACCTGACACGTGTACACATTGATCTTGGAAGGATAATATGTTCAACTTCAAGATGACACCTTCACTGTTCAGAGAATCTCAGGCCACAGCCATTTACCATGTCGAAGTCAGAACAAATAGGTCCAACCAGAGAAGCAGCCTGCAAGGCCCAGAGCTGAATTTCTTCTGAATTTCTCAAAGAACAGAATGCTGAGAAAAAAACAATCCACCAGCAAACGAATTGCAAGCCTGGCCTCCTGGATTCTCAGCATGGCCAGGGCGGCATAGTACCCAATTTTACTTAGGCCCCCCTTTTTTACTGTCAGGCCCCAAGTATGTGTGGTAAAACATTCCTTCCTACAAGTACCAAGCACTAGGATACAGGATCATAACGATGTATGTGCTCGATCGAGTCCCCGGGCTGCAATAAACTTCACGCAGCAGCACAGCAGTCACAAGATCTACCGACTTCTCCAAAACAATGACTGATGGGCATAGAGCAGTGTCCTGATGGTCGCCTCCTCTGCAACAAAAATTGCCCACCCAAGGCAACAACAGCACATTTCCAACTTGAGCTAGCTGGCCATGTTCTCGTGCAAGCATCGGTTGATAGTCAAATTAAAGTTGCAAAGCAGTAATTTCGCGAGCGCCAGATCTAGCCGTAAGCAACGTCACAGCATTTCCTCCAGGACCCTGCTACATACATCTTCAACTAATATGTCTGGCAGCTCTGGCTTGCTCGGCCACTTCCTTTCTCGCCTCTCTTGTAGGCTACATGACAAGAAGCGCAGCTATGGTGATGGTTGCTCCTGCCACACAGTGTGTAGCATGGCCCCTTTCTACTGCACACACCAATACCACAGTAGCTGCAAACGGCCCGCACTGTTTGTGTGGCCTCTTCAAACACTTTCTCTTTCTCACGGAGAGCATCTTCCCACTTTTGCAGGTCTCTCTGTTTTGCTGCAATCAGCCTTTCCTGCATCATGACTTCGGCCTCACGTTTTGCTGTTGCAGCTTCTCGTTCCGCCACACTTCTCTCACGAGCTGCAATGCTCTGAGCATACATTGGACCATCCAGCAAAGCCTGGTGCCCAACATCCATGGCAAAGATTTCGACTTTGTATTTGTGTGAGGTCTCGGGCCTGAAATTTCTCCAGAAGCAGACATGTGAAAACAAAAAGTGGAACCCCAAACAGTCATTCATGATCTAGTGCATGTTTGCAAGGAATCTTTCGAGGATCGAGGCTCTCGAAATTCTGTTATAAGATCCCAGAAGCAACAAACAGTTTATGAAATATCAAACAGTGTATGCATGCCTGTCAATGTACCGCCTAAACCCTATATATGTGGAACCCACACCATGGGCATTTTGCATACACTAGCGGGATGCAAAACCCATGGGCTTCGTACTATATTTGACTATATTGTTTTTCTCTCTCTGGAGCTTCGCAGCTTGAGGTCATATTCACCAGGGAGCCCGATTTGTTTGTGTAACTTCAGACGAGCTAAGGTCTCTAGGACCCTGCGCTCGCTTTGAAATCCCTTTTTCAGGAAATATGTTGCCGACCCGCCCCCCCCCCCTCGCCTGTACCCCCCAAATGGCATGCTGGTAGCATTTGTGGCAGCCACAGACAAACCATGTAGAAAAGTGACTTAGCTTATGTCACATGGGATACGTTGTTTATAAAAAAACCTTGTTTCGGAAGATCTTTTGGGGAATTTTTAAGTAACATATGGTCTTCCAGGTTGTGTTGGAGCTTGATGTGACTCAGTGCGCAGCGCATGATTTGAACCGTCTTTCACTTTGGTCACTCCTGCTTAAAGCGGCGAAGGATGGGCGCGTTGCAGCAGTGATTGGTGGCCCTCCTTGT